TAAAATGTCATGTGATGTTTTTATATTGACTTCTTTCACTTGTAATATGTACTTAATGTTCTTCCATGTCTTTTCTTGACTTGAGAGCTCATTTCTTTTAAGTGCTAAATAATACCCCATGTGTGGATGGGCCACAGTTATCTATTTGCCTGTAAAGACACCTTGGTGGCTTCTACATTTGGGGCAATTATGAATAAAGCTGCTGTAAATACTTATGTGTAGGTTTTCATGTGGACATAATTTTCCAATCCTGTGGGTGAATGTCAAGGAGCACAATTGCTGAATTGTATATTAAAACTATGTTTAGTTTTCTAAGAAATTGCCAAGCTGTCTTATGGAGTGACTCAACCATTTTGCATGCCCACCAGCAGCAAGGGGGAGTTCCTGTTGCTCCATCCCTCTCATCAGCATTTACTGTTATCAGTATTTTGGATCTTGGATTTTTCCAGTGGGTGTGTAGTGGTAGCTCACTATTTCAATTTGCATTTCCCTAATGACATATAATGTTGAACATCTTTTCATATGCTGACTTCCCATCTTCTTCAATGAGGCATCTGTTCAGGTCTTTTTTCATTTTCCACATGGTTGTTTATGTTCTAATTGTCGAGTTTTAAGAATTCTTTGTATATTGTGGATAACAGTCCTTTATCGGATTTGTCTTTTGCAAATATTTTCTCCTGTTATGTGGCTTGTCCTCTCATCCTCTTAACACATGGTAGGGATATTTATATCACATAAATTACAATTGATAAACACGGCAGAGAGCCAGTAATCAAACTGCACAGCACACCAATGTATTCGTGCACAATGTATTGGGTAAACTGTTTGTCTAAAAATGTCCCATCTCATGGGGGACAGGTCAGTGAGTCACAGCTATCTGCAGTGATCTGAGTACAGGGATAGAAGCGGCACCAGGATGCTACCAGAACACAAAGGAGGGAATCTCCTGGACCAGGAGGTTGGGTGGCTTCCTGGTGGAGAGCTGAGCCCTGAGCAAATATTCATCTCAAGGTGACTAGCAGCTGACCCATACTGCCGAGACAGGTGGCCCCATGACTGTTACTCCCTAGCTCTGGCCACGTTTCAAACCCTCCATAGTCATGTGTGTCTAGAGCTACTGCATCAGACAGAGCAGACACCGACTTGCCAGTCATCATGGCAGAAAGTGCCCTTGAACACTTTCTGGGCCAGGTGAAAAGTGCTGGGCCAGGTGAAAAAGCGTGAGAAAGGCGTTGAGGCTAAGAACCAGAATGGGCAGATTCAGAGGTGTGAGACAAGGTGATTCATTCTGGGGACTACAGGGGACTAGAGAGAGGGGTGTGTGGAGGGGAGAGAGGGGCAATTTGGCTGAATAAACAGAAAACGGTCGCGGGATGGCCAAACATCCTTAGTGCAAAGCTGAGGGGTTTAGACTCTGAACTGCAAGCTGTGGGGAGCCCCTGAAGGATTTTGCACAGGCATCTGATGTCATCAGCTTTGCATGTTAATACGATTTCTCTGGCTGCCAGTGGTGGCTGGATTGGAGGGCGCCCGCCAGCAGGTGGGAGGAGATCGGTTCTGAGACTTGCGGTTGCCTGGAGAGGCGTGAGAGGAGATGAAATAAGGCAGTGGCAGTGGCTGTGGCCCAGACGCTGAGAGGTGCAACAGCCTGCTGCCTGGTTGTGTCTGGCCCCTGGGAGGCGCTTTGTAAATATCTGTTGATTTAATGAATGGATTATTGCTAAGTCCAGCTGTACCTCTCCAGGCACCCCTGGCATCCCAGGTGCCATCCATTGCACAAATGCAGAGATATGGGGGGGTTTCTTTTCAGTGGAAGGAGAAAGGGCAATAGGGAGTGAGGAGGAGAGAGAAGAGAGATGGAGGGGAAGGTAGCATCCTGTCCAGTCTGATGGATGGAAGTTTCTAGCGAGAAGGGAACAAGCCATGTGGAAAACTGGGTGGACCCCAGGCCCAAGAAGTGCCTCTGTGGGTCAGGGGCTGCTCAGGATGGGCGCAGTCATCCTCCATCCCCTCACCCCACAGACCGGCAGGGCAGATTTTGTTTCCTGAAGCCTCGGACCACTTAGGTGTGCACACAGGGAGGACGCCTGCGGGGAATGTCTCAGGGCAACGCACACGGCCGCAGCGGAGCACATCGCCACAGGAGACACTGCCTCTCTCTCTCGAACCCTCAGAAGTGACTGGAGGAGATGTTGAGGACAGGTGGCCAAGAGCTGCTGTGATGAGCATCAGTGTCATTACCACCTTGTTGGTATCTCCAGGTCTGTAAACTCTTGGACCCAGTGAAAGACTAGTGAGATGAGGTGGGCTTCCCTTGTTCATTTTTTAAAAAATATTTATTTATTTATGGGCCTCCCTGGTGGTACAAGGCGTTAAGTACCGCACTATGAAGCAATCTGCAGCCTCTGCAGCACGAGTTCGATACCTGGCCAGCCAGAGAGAAACCCACATGGCGAAGCAGAACTCTCCTTTCAGTGTATTTCAGTCAATCCGCCTGTTCTGTTCCCCACTCTGTCTCTGGTGAATCCTCTCACTCCTCAAACCTCTGGCCTGTACCCCAGCTCTTGTATACATAAATTATTTATACATAAATAAATTATACATAATTAAATAAATAAATTATACATAAATTATGTATACAAGAGCTAGGGTAGAGGCCAGAAGTTTGAGGAGTGAGAGGATTCACCAGACACAGAGTGGGGAATAGAACAGACAGATCGACTGAAGTACACTGCTGAGGGGAGCAGCGGGCTAGTCAGGAGAGGTCTGCTGTGCCATGTGGGAAGCTCCCTGGCCGGGGATTGAACTCGTGCTGCAGTAGCTACGAATAGATTCATAGGTTGCGTCTTAACACCTTGCGCCACCAGGGAGGCCCTTCCCTTGTTCATTTTTAAGCAAATGTCCACTGAACCTCAGGGCTGTCACTGCCCTGTGCAACACTGGATGCTGGGCACACGTTAAAAACCAAGATCTCTCCTGCCCCAGGGAGCCGCCTGACAGCTAAACAAGGTAAGGCACTGGGGACCATGACATGACCCGGTGGGAAGCAGTCTTTTAGGTTAGGGGCCAGGAAGAACTATTCCAGAAATTGACATTTACAAAGAGACCAGAGCTGTGTAGGCGTTAGCCTGGAGAAGGGCAGGGGAGGGGCTGTGCTTTCCAGGTGGAGAGAGAACAACAGGCTTCATGAAGGATTTGGGGACAAATCCTTGGCCAGCTGGAGGCTGAGAAGGCTGGTGGGGAGAGGCACAGGCTGGAGAGGGAGGCAGGGCCCACACCCCCAGGAGCACTCAAGGGCCTTGGATTTGAAACCTCAGGCATGGGAACGGGGCGACGTGATGGGATTCATGCTTTAGAGAGATGGCTGGAGTGTGTGTGGAGAAGGGACTGGAGCTCAGGGAATGCAAGGAGCTGAGTGCAAGGTTCAGGGGCCTCAGGGGGAAATGGTGGTCATGTCCGTGCCAATGGAGAGAAACAAAGGACGCTGACGAATCTTTTAAAAAGAAGACCTGGGGACCTAGGGGTTAAGTCTCAGGGCTGTCACCATTGGGGCCTGACCCGGATCTCTGGGCAGGGAGCTACCCACATGGTGCAGCAGACCTCTCCTGTCCCCCTGCTGCTCCCCTTAGCAGTGGATTTCAGTAGATCTGCCTGTTCTGCTCCCCACTCTGTCTCTGGTGAATCCTCCTACCTCTTGCCTGGCACTGTTGTTACACCCCAGTTCTTGTATGCTAAATAAATAAATAAACCGAGACAACACGTTTTTCTCATGCTTTGCCTTGGGACAGACAGGCTGAAAGCCCAACTATCAACAAGGTAAACACATATTTTGGCCTGGTCCCTTTGTCCCCACGTGGTCTGTTTTGCTTTGGGTTAGCTGAGATCCAGTGATGCCACACGGGCCAGTGGCAGTGGCTGTGGCCCAGACCCACCTCCCAGCAGGGAAGAGAGTCACTTTTATGTTTAAAGGTTTCCCGAGGCCTTCACAACTTTTTCTGTAATCTCTACTATTGTTTGAAGCAATTACAATTAGGAAATTCTGTTTGTATTTATCTGAATGCCTCTCTCTGTAATGTTTCTGACGCTTGGTGGGGATGGAGAGGCTAACATCATAAATCGCCTGGGCTGCCAAATGGGACAGATGTCACAATAGCGGTACCGGATCATGCCTGTTTGTCCCACCGCCAAAGTGGCCAAGTCATTCGCAACGAAGGAAAATGCCTCGATGTCCCCAGAAAATTGGATTTGAAAATCCAATCCGATTTTTGCAGCTGTTTAGCTGACTGCCAGAGCTTTGGCCCTTGCTCTCAGAATGTGGCCTGTGGTCCCAGCAGCGTCGCCTCTGAGCTTGGTAGACACGGGGGCGTGAATCAGAATCTGCATTTTTAACACACTCCCAGGCAATTGGCAGGCGTTCATTCTGAGCAGCATAGCCGCCTGAGAGCACCTGAGGCCACTGAAAAGTGGGTGGGCAGTGGCAGGTGCCAGATGTTTGAAACGCAGCGAGTCTCAGCAAGAGGTTAGGAGAAACCGACTGGTCCAACAGGAACTGGCTTTTCTCTGGAAGTGCCCTGCTCCCAGGTCACCTACCCTTTTCAGCTGAATTTAGACAGTGTGTTCCTGGCTGTTTGGCTAGTGGGAGGAGGAGGCTGGACTCAGCTCCAGCGCTGACATGCTGTCAGGTGGAAACTGGGCCAGCAGCGGGGAGGCATCTGGCCCTGGGGTCCCCTAGACCGCACCAGAGGCCAGGCAAGTTAGCCTTCCAGCATGGATGGTTCGGGCCCTTCCTCAGAGCTGTTCCCAGGGGCCTGCTCTGTGGATGGTTTGGGTGACGCTCTACCTTCTGAAGCGAGCACGCCCGCACACAGGGCCAAGGTCGTTTTAAAAACACTCCCACTCTGACCTCTGGTGGAACAGAACACCGGCCTGGGGTTTCCAAAGCTCTGCCTGCATTGCCGGCCCGTCCAGACCGGCACCCCATCCCCCCAGAGAGCGTGACACAGACACTAGACACCGCTCTGCGAAACAAGGGCACTGCTTTTATTACTGCTTTCCTGAGAAGTGTTTCAAGGTACAAAAACTGGGCTGAACCAAATTGTTTCTGTCTTAACTGGGGCTGGTCCTCCCACATAGTCAGACAAATGGATGGAGCTCGTGGGCTGTTGGAAGCATATGGTTTGTAAATACTGTAAAATCAAACATCACTTTTGGCTTGTATTTACTGTAGCACGTTCACGTTACCTAGCACCAAAATAGCTTATTAGGTCCCCTCCTTCGTGAGTCTTCATCCTTGTGGTGTCTTTGCCCCCCGCCCTCCACCCCGTTCATTTCTCCGCTCTAATTCTTCCTTCACCTGCCTGGGCCCTCCTTCCTGGCTTGTCTGCGCTGGCTCGTTACCCCAATGTCTTCCTTGTCATCCCACGTAACCTCTTGCCTCTTCCCCTCCCTTGTGTCTCTCATGCTGCTCCTTCGCCTCCTGAAATGCTTTGGCCTTTTCCTTCTGCGCTTTCGTTCCTGGAGGCTGGAGCCGCTCCTCCCTCATGCTCACACCCTCCTTCCTCTCCAGGCTATTTTCTCTTCCCTCCCAGGATCCATCACCTTCTTTCTCCCTTTCTTCCAGAGGCAACGTGGGGATCAGAGAAACGTGGGATTCAGAGTTAAAGGGGCACAGGCTACGTTCACTGACAGTTACTTCTGACTCAGAAATTCTTTCCTTCTTCTATTACCTTCCATAATGGCTGCCCTATCCCTCCCCCTCGGAGAAGGGAGGGCTGTGGAAGGAGAGAAAGGAACAGCCCCCTCCACACACACTAGCACTTTCTTTCATGTCTCAGCATGCACACACACACACACACACACACACACTCTCCTCTAAGACCCCCAGGGCAGACATGTTTGCTCACAGGCTTCCCCAAACACCCAGCTTCCTTCTGCAGGGCCCCTTCACCCCAGCCAGGCTGGCTTCGCTGCACACCCCCAGGGTGAGCACTAGGAAGTGCAATTCTATTTTGGGGTGATGACAAGAGACAGTGACTGTGGGCTCCTTTCCCCAGGTGCGGCTCTGGGAGAGGTGTTGGCAACGGTCCAATGGTTAGATGGAGCAGAGAGCTCTGTTCAAAGCCAGCTCCCACCCAGGGCCATGTTCAGCCGGTCACGCTGGCAAGAAAGCAAGCCCGAGAGCCAGTGCTCTTTTGAGGGGCTTCTCTCTGTGCCGCCGGGCAAGGCATCTTCACAAACACAGAGAACCAAGAGGACAAACAAATTGAGCCCCAAAGAGACACCGTGTCACCACAAAACAAGGGCCTGAAATCCAGCCATCTTGGCTGGGCTTCCTCAAGCACCTCACTGAGTCGTGGATGCTGCTTTCTCGGTAGCCAGGGAGACGGAGGTGTCACCCAAGTAAGCCACGGGGTGTGGTGAAAATCCCTCCCCCTCAGCACTGGGTGCCTTATGGTGTCTCTGCTTCTCCACATCAGCCAGAGGAAGAGGATTAGCTGAGGAACGTGCATTTACTGTAGGGAGTTGAGGGCCTGGGCCTAGCAGAGACCAGGAGACCCTGGACGCCCGCTGCTCAGGTCCTTTGCATGCTGCCCGCCGCAGAGCAGATCGCGTGGCTGAGCCTTCCTTCTCAGTCCAGCAGCCCTTGGAGAACACAGGGAAGTGGCCCCAAAAGCCCTCGAGCTGTGCAGGGTGTGCAGGTGAGCAGGAACATGCCCCACCAAGTCCAACTCTGCCCTGTTGTTCTGTGTCCAATGCCGGGTGTGGACGGCTTAGGTATTCTGAGTGAAAATCCCCCAGACGAGGAGGAAGTGATGTCACCTCAAGGACAGGGGGAATTTCAGTTTCATTTCCCTGCCCACCCCCCAACTTCCCCATTGCCTGCCGCTGAGGGGAGCAGAAAAAGAAGTATAAATATAGTTCTCACCCGAGTTCCTTTCATTCCAGCCAGTTACCCCAACTGCCAATAAATTACTATCATAATATGTGCTCACGCAGGTCTCCGTGTCTGCACCTATGAACGTGTGTCTGTGTAGTTCCAGCTTTTCTTCCTGGTCCCTTCTCTTGCAGGCAGCTTCAGGCAACGGCTTCTGACTCCCCCAGAAGGGCTTCATCGGCTCAGGGGTGCCACGTAGTTGGCAGGGAAGAGGCCCAGCTTGTCGTGCAGGCGTCCAGTCCACCAGGATGGGTTGGAACTGTCCAGGACCTCGACCACCTCTCCACAGCGGAACCCCAGCTCGTCATCCTCCAGGGCCTCAAAGTCATACAGCGCCCGGGCCCACCGCACTCGCTGTGGGGGCAACACAGAGCTCCTGCTGAGCGGGGGCCTGGCCTGGGGCACCGCCAGCCGGAGAAGCCCTACGCCCCGCCAGGCGGCCCCTGGCGCTGCGCCCTGAGCATGGGTGTCACACGCGGCAGCTGCTGCAGACACTTGGGTTCTCCTCCAGCCCCACGGGCGTCTTAGGGCGCGGCTCTCCCTACATCACACAGGGTCTTTCATTCCCTGCCAGTGACAGACACATTGGCAGGGGGCCCCAAATAACCACCCTTGGGCTAACGCAGCCGAGTCAAGACGGCTCTCGTCCTAAGGCCACGGGATGTCCCTCTGCTGGGACTAGAGCCTAAGAATAAGAGGACTGGGTGGGGCCCATCGGCCGAATTGAGAACAAGACTGGATGGTGACAGGCTGGTATCTGCTCGGCCCTGGAACTGCCCCTTTCCCTCACCCTTGGGATCCCCCACCTCTGTTCTGAGCTCCATGCATTTGGACATCTCTCCTGGAAAACTACTTATTTCTCTGATTGGCCCAACACATCTCCCTCATTGGGCCCAGACAGGGAAATTCACCTACCCCGGCCACTTGCAGCTGCACTGGGTCCGTGTGTCTCCGGTGCATGAGGGCGGCATTCATTTCGCTGGCCATGCCCATGCCACAGTGCCCATCATTTATGTCAAGGCTGCCTCCACGGCGGTCCTGGAAACAGATGTGACAAAGGAGCCTTCACCACACGGCCACAAACACCCCTCACAGGCTTCCCCAGGGCCTGGGTAGGTGCTGGGGCATAGCCGGTGTTCCAAGAATACTCGATAAGGTGACAATCAATCCCAGATGATGGAGAGAGGGGAAGGACGACAAAGGGATCACAGATTCTGAAGGCCAAGATGATGACAGGTTTCATTTATTCAATCAAGAAATATTTACCAGGCACCTGCCATGTGTATGGCACTAGTACTGCCCCTGGGGAGATGTAGCTTGAAAAGAAAGTCCCAGTCTTCATGGAGCATCAGTTTTAGAGGGGGAGTCATACAGATCTGAGTGATCAGTGAGCAGAGGAGAAGAGTCTAAATTGGCCTGAGTAATCAGGAAGGGCGTCATAGAGGAGGTGATGCTTGAACACCAGCTTAGAGATGGAATGGGATTGGTTAGGAAGAGGCATTGGAAGCAGAGGGAATAGTATATACAAGCCATAAAGGCATGGGGAAAAATGCAATGGACCACCTAGTAACTTGAGGCAGCTCAGCATTGCTGGACTGTGTCCCTGCATGGGGAGGAGGGGAGAGGTAGCAGGAGATGAGGCTGGGAAACACATATGGGCATCTCACAAAGAACTTTGTCTGCCCTGTTAAGGAATTTAGGAATGATGTTATCTGGCTGTATTGTCCATCTCAGTAAGCCGCCTAAAACCCCGTCTGGAACAACACAGGGGATAAATAAAAAAATAAGCCAGGCTCTGCTGCCTGTGTTAATCCGTGTGTGTGTGTGTGTGTGTGCGTGTGCATGTGTGTGTCTGGACAGCTGGATCGTTTAAGGGGTTGAATGGATTGGGAATTGTACTGATAGGAAAATAAAGCAATTGTTCATGAGGTCTCAGGGAAGGATGTGAGCGTGTCATGTGCGCGTGGAACCATTCAAGTCACAGGCTTCTGTGCCAAGAGCAGTGCCAAGTTTCTACCATTTGTGGCACAGGGTCCTTTAGGTGGACTTATGAGGCCTGATGAGGCTGGACTGCCGGGGTGTCTGTCTCCAGGCCCCCAGTCCCCAGAGTTTATTTGCGGTGGTAGTTCCTGCACAGCAGGGGGTTTTCACACTCTCCCAGGCTGTGGGGACAAGGTGGCCTGAGCCCCAGGGAGAGCAGATCCTCCCCTCATCGTGCCCCACTCCATTCTGTCCAGATACCTGGTGAAAATGGGGGTGCTGGAGATACCGCTGCTGCCCTGATGGGGGTCCCGGGGCATATTGAGAGGGAGCGGGAGGGGGCTGGTCTGACAGCTTCCTGTTCATCGAAGGCCGGATTTCTTCTCCCATGGCCCCGATGAGGTGTGGGCCTCCCTGGGGCCTCCGGTCCAGGCTGTTGCCCCGGCGACCCTAGGAGGGAAGAAAGATGATGCAAACCCTCCCCTGCCCCCTTGGCCCTTCCGCCCCTGCCCGCTCTGCCCAGACTTTGCTCACCACAGCTGGGGTGTGGGGGGGTGCACTTCAGGAGAATCAATGGTTCAGACCCTCCCGTTTTCAAAGTGGCCTCTGTATTTTCAGATTCTCCCTATTTGGGGGGCATGCCTCTGGCTCACCACTGACATTTTCCCCATGGGACCCATTTAGAGCATTCCTAGTGCGCTTGTTTTCCTCTGTGTAATCAAGCTTAAATATTCCATTATACTGACACAATGCCACCCCCTTATCACATGTTGCCACACTGCTGGACACTCTACCCTCCAGATAAGCCCTGCTATTGACTTTGCGTGATTCTTAACTGCCATTTACAGCCTGGTGATAGTGACCCAAACAGCAATGCTCTGGCAGCACCATGGAAACCAGGCCAGCCGCTGTGCATGCTGGGAAGGAGCAAGGCCTTTTCCCCTTAATGCTACAGCCACTCCTTAATCGGAGATACTTTCTTGTAATTTTTATTTAATGAACAATTACACAGGGCCCTAGGCTTGGTATATTCAGGCATCATTCTAATCCCTTCTCAAATATAAACCATTTAATCCAGTTCAATGCATTTTGTGTTCCTTCTCTTATCTCAGCAAGCACATCCTAGTAAATTAATACCTCTGTCCGTTTCCTGGTTAAAATAATCATCAAGGTCTTGGTTGACCTTTGTTTTCCTTCCTGAATTTCTGTGTACACTGGTGGGAACACCCTTTTCTCTGATTGTAACTCTCAGGCTTAAAACTAACCAATTCCTTGAGAGGGAGGTTCTTCTTTATTGCCCCCCAAAACACATGTTGCTTTGAAAGTCTCAGTGACTTTCAAATAACCAATCCTTGGGTCAACTCTTCCAATCAATGCTTCTTTCTACAATACCTGTCTCTTATAACCAAGTTTTTTCTTTTGAAAAATATTTTATAAATTGTGTATGTGTTGCATGAGCTCATGAGAATTTACATATGGGAGGCAAGTTAGCATTTTCTCAGCACCTGATCTGGACCAGGCTGTGGCAAGTGCTATAATTATATCGTCTCACTGAATCCTCACCACAGCCTGGTGAAGGACACATCATGTTGCCTCCATGCTGCAGGTGAGAAAACTGAGGCCCAGAAAGGTTTCTTACCCGGGCTAGGTAATGAGCATAGTTAGGGATGGAAAATCAGAGCTTAAATGCAGGTCTGTCTGATGCATTTTCATTAAAGCCATACTCTACGATCCAAACCATTCCCAGAGCAGGAATTCCAGGTCCAGCTTCCTCCCCCAACCACTTCTTGCTGCATCCTGTCCTGTCATGAGGCCGGCAGCTTCTGTCCCTCTGGGCAGTCCAGTGCCCCTTCCTCCCAGGCAACTCCTGAGCTGGGCACAAAATACTGTGAGGTAGCTCATGTGTATTGAGTGTCTGGGGTGTGATGAGGGAGGACGGAAAGGGGACACAGTGTCTTCTCGGACCATCCATGAGGGAGAGGACTCCACCGTCTGATTTTATGGATAAGGAAACTGAGACGGGTGAACTTTCCAAAATCACGTGGCTAGGATGTGTTACTGGCATTAAAACTGAGTTCTGGCTTCAGTTATTGTGCCTTTCCCAACCCCCGGGTGGCCTGCCCACCAAAGCACTGTCTTGGCGGTTCACGTGGGATTCCGGCTGCCCCAAATCTCTAGCCTGGGGCCAATTGGGACTTGGCACGTACCTGATCTTCTTGGGTTTTGTCCCGCAGAAAGATCTGCTTCTGTTTGGAAATGGATGTCGTCCTGTAGTAGTCCACCAGCTTATTGAGGGATGGAAACTTCTCTGTCCACAGGAAGTAATTACCCTTGTTGTCTCTCATCACTTTGAAGTGCTGAACATCATCCTCATGCCTGGAGATCAAGCAAATCCAAATTGTATGTTACAGGCCAACAGGGAACCCGCCTCCAGCGTGGCGGAGCGCTGTTCGGGCAGGCAGTGGCAATGTGGTGGGCCTGCCCAGCACGGCCAGGTGGCCTAGCCCAATCAGCTCTCATAGGAGAGTCGTGGGAGGGATAGCTCAGGATGCAGGCTGCCAGAGGGGCTTTTTATTAGCAGAAGGCACTCTGTCTTCTGACACTGCAGTAGAACTTTGACAAGAAAAACATGTTCCAAGTGCTGTAAAGACTAAGGGGTCAAGGACCTTTTTACAATGTTTACTTGAAACATGGCAACCTCTCAGTCCTTGCCAGGCTAAGGACTCTGCCAAGACTCAGAAAGTACTTTTCAGAGGCAAAGATGCTGAGGGATGAGGGGTTTTCTGGTGGCTTCCATTGTGCAGTTATTGTTTTGTTATCAGCTATGCTTTGAGCCAGCTCTGTTTAAGCCTGTCAACTCGCTCTGGATGGCAAGAAACTACCCTGAAAAATTTGTCAGGTTTTATTCTCTCCATAATGGAGAGGTCTTGGGCTTGGTTTTAGTTTTGCATGAATAAGCTTACAAAGTATTTTGAGCTTTTGGGGGGAAAAGTATTTTACAGGATTGCAGAATTCTGATTGGAAAGGACCCCAGGCATTGTTTAGTCTTAAATCTTCATGTAACAGATCAGGAAGCAGAGGCTCAGGGAGGTGGAGGGCTTGCTCAAGGTCACTGTGAATGAGAGGCAGAGCTAAGGCAAGAACCCTGCGTCTCTGATCAGTCTGGTGGGTCTGAGCACACCAGGTACCTGCTAACATCTTTTAGACCAGTACCTGTTGATGCCAGGATGTTGATCACAGGAGATGGGGCACATTTGTACCAGGTTGATTTGGAAAGGGGAGGTGAGGGGCTGGAACTGACCCTTTACTATTAGCTCCAGCCTTTCTCTATTGCTAAGACATTTTCTTTTGGATGTCAACTTTATTTGTCAACAGACATACATTTATATCTAAAAATAAACTGGTGTTAATGATACCAATTGTCTGATTCAGCAGAAGGGTCAAGAATTTAAAATTTTGGAGGGTAAAGATACTCCTGAAGGTTAGTGGAGATTTTGCAGGGATGGATTTAGTGGTGTGTGTTCAGAAGCGAACAGGAATTCTGATCTTCAGCCTTGTCTTCTGAACAGGGCTCTGCTAACCAGGTGAACTAGGTCCATGGATAGAAACTGACACTTTGAATCACTGCCTGGTCTTCCCCTTGGTTTTGGCCACTAACTGTCACTTCCTTCACACTAAACCACATTGCTCAACTCAGCCACTACTCCTCACATCTGGGTAAGGAGAAAGAACTATTCTTGGAATATTATAATTATTCATCCACCACCTCTTAGTGAAAGAACACAGGTGTAAAACATTAACCCTTGTACTTTCATAAGCTGTGAGGATGGATGTCCAGGTTGCAGTTGGTCATCTGGGACCTGGAGAGAGCAGTCTGACCATTGTCTCAGGTCCAGATGGGCAGAGAAGAGAAAGTGACTCAGGGCCCCAGACCCTGAAGTCTAGTGTCTCAGACTCCTAACAAATGCTAAGTGATAGAACTACAATTAGCTCTTAATTATCTGTGCCCATGACAGAAAGCAGATGTAATAAATAAAAATGATTTTGCTTTGGAATGTATTACACTATAATTCTCCAGAAAATGCAATAATGATTATGGTAATAATCACCACAATGAGAAGCTCCATTGCCTCAATAGCAGAGGAGGACTTTTGGCAGGAGTCAAGGCTGACTGCTTTGCAGAACTCATGTTCTTTAAGGAAATAGAAACTATAATCCATAGTTAAGAAGTCACAGTCAAGTTTATGGAAAGCAGAGTGACCCTGAGGTGCCCTTCAATCTCACAATTTACTTGGCCAGTCTGTCACTGGGGCCTTGGAGAAATAGATCTGACTTGTGAGATTTATTAATAGAGCCGAATTTCATTAGTTAAGATCTCACAAGTTTAGAATTTGTGATACATCAATATTGGCCTGGGCTGAAATTTACCCTCGCCCAAGCTGTGAAAAAAGTTTTAGTCAAGGAAAATTAAGAGTGATATGAGATGGCTGGGCAGGGCTAAAGGGACCAAGCTATTTTGAGCACTTTAGACGCACACGTGCATAGCAATGGTTGATCCATTATTTGTAAGAACTTCCTACCAATTCCTAAAAATATCCATTCTTTCTAAATAGTAAAGTCACCTCAATTTATTACCCAAGATTGGATTTACGTATTTAAAGCACTAAAGCTGCATGCCTTTCAAAATACGTTGAATAACCTAGCCCAGCATTTCCTGCAGTGCCTTTGCAGGAGGCCGGCCAGGCTCGCTTCTCGGTGTGCGTTCTTATACTTTCACATGAGGTCACGTGTCTGACACATGACTTGCATTCCCCGACACACTGACCACAGGCAGTTTGCTCAGACGTGGGGTTTCTGAGTGTGGGGCTGTGTCATGTTTCTGCCAGGACTGAGTCACTTCCTCCCGGGCGCTGCACATTTGTGAGATGTTGCTGTTACAGCCTCCCCGCCCCCATCCCAGGCCTCCTCTGCCGGGTCTGTGGCTCTCAGTTTTGCTGCATTGCAATGCATCGAGGTAACCTTTCTTTCTGTGCAGCCACCTACAACTATGTGTGCATCCTACAGCGGTGGCTGACGATTCCAACTGTCCCCTGGCCCCTCTTCAGACCGACCACCATAGTAAACAAAGAGGTTAAGATGTCAACCCCAATCTGGACAACTGGGCGTTCCCCTTCCATCTCTCTCCCTCTCCCCTCCACAAATACTATTTAAACACCTGCTGGGTACAAGGCACTGTCGACTGTACACAGATGAAGTAGATGAAATCCTGTCCTTCTAGAAGACTTAGGGCTAGAAGGGACAACAGATGAAGGTGCACATAATTTTGGCCAGAAACCATCGGACAGGTGTTAAGGGGAGGAATTGGATGACATCACCATTGACTAAAGGCCAAGCTCCTGATCATTAGGTCACATTCAAGAGGTCATCACGTAGCTTCAGTCATCTGGGTCAGGGGGGTGTCGGGAATGGTCAGTACCTGACAGAGATGGAGAAGTCCCCCAGGGAGCTCTGGCTGGCCCGGATGATGAAGAAACCAGGCTCTTTGGCCATGAGGAGGTTTTCTGCCTGGTGTCGTGAGAGACCTTCATGGAACCATCTATCAGGTGAGATAAACGAGAGGATCTTGGTGAGACGCCAGACAACGAAGACATGGAGGAGAGGAGACCCCCAAGGGAGAGGGACTGAGACTCTGCTCAGGAGGGAGCAGAGGGAGACTCAGGAGGAGCCAGGAACTTTGGAAACCAAACAGCTCTACACAGGGTGCAGCACGGCCGTGAACATCCCTTCCACACACCCTCTTAGTTCTCCCTTCAGGAGAAGTCTCTCCAGCCTGGAAAGCCTGGACCACGCAAATGTGCCACCGCACCAAAATGGGGCAGTGTGGGCGTGACTCACAGCGGAATGGCTGCTTGCCAACAGCTGCGAGGCTGCAGCCAGGAGAAACCCCCATGGACCGGAGGGGAGACGACTTCAGGCACCGGGGGCAGTCCACCCTGGAGGGCAGGGCCTTGGGTGCTCGCTGCCAGGCTGAGACCTTGGTGGCCCTGGGAAGAGGCCCAGTGCAAGGCCTGGCTCCCTCTGTGGCACAGAGGGCAAGGGGGCTGTGCTCTGGGTGCCCAGCAAAGGCTGGGAGGTACCAGGGAGGCAGCACAGCAGCCAGAGAGCAGTGTCTACACGCTTAGGTCCTGGGGTCTCCCTTACAAACCCAGGCTGGACAAGAATCTTGACTGTAGAAAAGAAGAGACTGAGGAGAAACTGCTCTTGCAGGGAAGCCGGGCAGGGCGGCAGCCACTGGGAGGGTTGCCACGTGGGCAAGGACAAGGCTAGGCCCTGCCACCTGGCCGAGGCAACAGGCAGGGGCCCAGAAGCCTCTCCCAACCACAGGAAAGCGAAGTGAGTAAGTGCAGTCACTCAGCGGTCAGCTGCGCCCCGCTGCTTCCGGGAGGCCGCGCTGGTGGTTGTCTCGGGAGGGCCCGCGAGTGGGGACGGGCCGCGGCTGGCACGGTGAGCAGTTCCCCGTGCTCTCTACGGTTCAGGAACCCGAACCGCGGGCAGGGGTGGGATATGGGTATGGACACGGATACGGCGAGGGAGAGTATGTCGGGGGGCGGCACGTGCTGCGGAGCCGTGAGAACAGAAAGGAGGGTGGAGTGGGGCGCGTCTTCTGAGGGCAGCTCTTCTTTTTTCATCAAATTTTATCGTACAAATTCACCCCTCAACAGGTGCACACGCTTCGCTCGCCCCGGGAGGGGGGATATGCTAACCCTAAAGGAGATTGGGGAGGTGAGGGGGCCCAGCAAAGGAAGCTGAGGAGCAGCAGCCGGGGAGCAGGAAGCAGAAGCAGGAGGAAGCGTGGCCTGGCAGCCCAGTGAGGCACGTCGCCCGCAGGGGGGGCCAGGCCCCCCGACCCCGCCCGCTGAGATGGTCACCTGCAGTGACCGGGGGGACTGATGGTCCATGGTCACCTCGATAAGACAGGCTTCAAAGGGGCCAAGAGGGTTCCGGAGAGAACAGGAGAGGCATTCGGAGAGAGACATGACCCTTCTTTTGCAGAAAGTGAGCTGGAAGGGGATTTGGGATCAAAAGTTTTTCCTTTTGTTTTTGTTTCTTGCTAAGACGGGCGAGATGACAGCATCCTTGCTTGCTGATGGGCAAGATCCAGCAGAGAGGGCGAGGACGGGGATGTGGGAGAGGGGAGAATCTCTGCTAGAAGCACAGACAGTTCCTTCCACACAGCTGCAGGAAAGGCAGCGTCTGTGTCTGCGGAGCTGCAGGAGGCGGGTGGGGGCGTGAGTCGGGGTGAGTTGGGGGTGGGGAGAGGGGCTTTTCTGGTGGTCTCCAGCGCCCCAGCGGCCCTGGAAGCCAGGCCGGCAGCAGAGCGTGCAGGCGAGCGTGGAGGTTTGAGGGTGGAGGCAGGTATGATGTGGTCAACTGGGTTACGAGCGGCACCGGGGCCGAGCTGAGGTCAGCGGTCACTCGCCCGGCTCGCTCTCACGCTGCTTCCCAGGCCTCGCCGGCTCGGTTTGCCAGCAAACCTTTGCTCTGGGCTAGCCTGCCTCTCGAATGAGATTAGATTCCTATCTAGCCCTTGTGGTCAAGTCTTGAGACAGCGGAGCCCCAATCTCAACTTCTCATTTCCCCTCCGTGAAGGGAATTTCCCCTTTTCCTCCACCAAATTTGGTGCGAGCGCGGCGGCAGGGAGGCAGGGAGCAGCCACAGGCCTCATTAAAGGCTGAGAGCCTTGGGTTAGGGTAGAAGGCAGGTTGGGAGTTAATGAAGTGCCTTGAAGCAGCAGCTCTTGCAGTGGGGTGGCCAACAGCGCCCCCCCTGGAATTCTTGGAAACCCTGCTGCGACAATTATAGATGATTTCAGTTTATAAACTTAAAATAGGCGATACATGCACATGGCATAAAATTCAAAAGGCAATGCAGTGAAATGCAAATCTCCCTCCCACCCCTGGCCTTCAGCTGTGTGGTTCCCTCTCCAGCGGCAACCATTTTTGACAGTATCTTGGGTATGCTTGGATAATTTTAGCGACTACTGAAAAAGGAAGGGGGAGTGTGTGTGGGTAGACCCATCTCGCAGGCTGGAAATACTTACTCAGGAAACTGGATGTCTATAAAATTCTTGGGCACATATCCTTCTTGGCTCCCAAGCTCTGCCTTGAACCATTCTTCTTGGTTACTTAAGATCTACAAGGAAGAGAAGGAAGGACAGACAGGTCAGGGAGCAACCGGAGAAAGGTGCAGGGCAGTGGCTTCTGGACTTAGGGGAAAGTCAGCCCAAGCAACCACATCCCTAGTCTAGTCTGGGGTGTTGGGGGCAGCAGGTTTATCTTTGCAGCTTGAATTCTGTGAACCCCAAGTTATTTCTGCCCATTCGGGTGATCCCACCATGACTTGGCCTCCCAGACTCAGGCCCTGTGGGGCTTCCCTGATCCCCTGTCTCCTTCCAGTTTACATATTCATGCGTCCTAGGTCCCGGGCTTTGAAGCTCCTCATGGGAAGATGGAGGAGAGGCCAGAGCAGCATTTTTCCTTCTCTGCCAGGTAACCAGGAAACTCCTTAAAGTTTATTCTTATTTTTTTTTTTAAAGCAGATTAAAACTTAAACATTCAAGGTGGCCGGCTCTGACAATGACTCTTTGTGTTCACACTCCATGTGTTTCACAGTTTGCACACGTGCTGTATGGCCCGCCTTTCCTAAACTTCCTTTTAGAGCCGGGTCACCGGCCAAACCAGGAGTTTGGTCTCTACTAGATGGTCCTGCCTGGACCATGCCCATGGCCCAAATGTTATCACCTGCCTTGCTTACTCATGATTTGCCCCATGTGGCTCTATGTGACTTCAGCTTATTTCAGAAAGTGAGTTTCAGTGTTAAAAAAACACAAATATTTGCCTCTTTCCCTCCCCCACTGAGATGGCTTCTATCATACAATACACTGCATAGGCTCAACCAATAATTGGGAATGATGGAGGGAAGATGGAAATCATTTGAAAAGAACCTTGATGATGTTACCAAGACACCGAATTAGTCATCCAGGGCCCTCCTACTTCTGGACTTTGGATAAGAAACAATCTTATTGCTTAAGCCACGCTTAGTTTCTTTTTCTTGTAACTGCAAACGTCTTAACTGGTTGACATACTGTGATAAAGGAGAAGCAGACGATGGATACAAAAGAATTCTTAGAGGAGATGCCATTCAGGTGACCCAGGCACAGAAAGAAATTAGGTAGATGGGACCTTGGGAGATGAGGAAACAGTGCATTCTGGGAAGGAGGCAGTGCATTCTGGGAAGGGTACAGTGCATTCTGGGAAGGGGCACAGTGCATTCTGGGAAGGGGCACAGTGCATTCTGGGAAGGATGGGAGGTGCATTCTGGGAAGGATGGGAGGTGCATTCTGGGAAGGATGGAGGTGCATTTTGGGAATGAAACACTTCTGGCTGCAGTTTCGATTGTGACCCCAAGAGTATAGCGAGCGGAAGTAAAGGTACAGGACCCTGTAGCGCAAGTTGACAAGTTTGGATTTTTATCTTGAAATTTATGGGACGTCATTAGAGAGCTTTAAGCAGGAGACAGCACGGTGAGGATTAGAGTTGGGAGAAGTTAGAGTGCCAGAGCGTGACGGTAGATTGGCGTGGTAAGTTGGAGGAACAGCTGTTGGAAGACAGTGTCGCCACCCAGGCAGGCGATGACAGGGGGCTGGCCTAAGAGGCGGGACACATTCTAGAGGAATCCAGGAAGATGGGCAGGGTTTTGTGACTGTTCTGGGGAGCTCAGGGAGGAGAGGGATTCTGGGATGACTTGGAATTCTGCCTTGGGAGGCTGAGTGGGTGGTGTAGCCGTCACTAAAATAGAAACTACAGGAGGAGGAGCAGGTCTGAAGGAGAACAGGTGGACTTCAGAGTCTGTGTGAGTGCATCACGTTGCCCCTGGGACCAGCTGGGAAGCAAAACACAGCGAGCAGGGGGAGGTATGTGTCTGGACATAGGAGGGAGTGGGGGCTGAAGTTTGGGATTTGGGAATCACCCCAGAGTGGGTGGAGTTGACATCACGTGCCCCAGTGATGGGAAGAGAATTGGAGAGAGCCCAGTCACCGAGAAGGTGATGTCCTGTTTCGCATAGCACTCTGGGGGTGGAAGAAAGGAGACTGTATTTTGAGTTTGGAATGAGAAACCCTGGTTTCTAGCTCGGCCCTGGACTAGCTGTGTGACCTGTGGCAAGTAATTAACCATCTGGAAAATGGGCATAATAATAAGCAGCTAGCGCCTCACAGAGCTGGTGTGGGAATCACACGAGCCCTGGTGGCTGAAAGTCCTTCAGAGAGTATTTGCTGGTTTTTAAAATATAATTTTGTAAAATACTGTGATAGGCTTATGAGGGAGGGCTCCATCTCTGAAGGACATAGAAGGGCTTGTGAGTTCTTCAAAGTGTTAAATGTGTATGTTTTGAATTTAATCATTTGTTCTGAAGAAATAAAAGCGTCCCACATTTGAGTTCTAGAATTGCTGAGAACAGAAAACTTTAGAGTTTCTAACATCAAATGGGACTGTTGGTATCACCGAGGACGTGTGGGTATGTGTGTGCTGAGGGGGTGGAGGGTGGGAAGCAGAAAATCTAGGTCAAAAGCAGAACTAGGAAACCCAGTAGCAGTGCCTGTGTAGAAAGAACACAAGGACAGCTCACTCCATGCCAGCTCCCCACATTTATGGCTTTGGAATTCCTTTTTCCTGTCACCTGGGAATGTTCTGTTTGGCCCGGGTAGCAAATGTAAAATCCAAAGGTGAGCAGGGATGAGGTAAAAGAGGCCTTTTGGAAATTGGCTCATCATGGTAAGAACCCCACTTTGTACTCAGCTCTCTGACCTGAAACCAGCTGTAATTTTAGTAATTGTGGCTCACACCCATCTACCTCCTCTAGAAACAAAGATTATTCCTCAGTGCAGCCATTTCTCTCTACCACCTGGAGCTCAGTCCGCCTGCGATCATGTTCCCAGGAAGGTAAATTTGCAGGCTTTTTATGGTATATAGAAGGCAAGGTTTAAAAAAAAAATCTAATTTTCGGTAAAGAAGACTATTTGGGGGGAGGTGGTTTCCTCCTGCCGTTGTGGGCCCGGGGCCCCGCACTTCCTGTTCTTCTCATCTCTCCATCTGTTCGGTTCCCCCTATCTCGTGTACCCATCGTGTAGACCTGAGCCAGGAGTTCAGCCTAAACACATGTAGTTTCACACTTCAGGATACTGTGTCTTAATTCTTGTAATGTTGCCTATAATGAGAATAATTTTCTGGGTTACATGGCCTGAGAATAAGTTAGACGTGGGAAGAGGACAAAATGTACGGGTGGAGGAAATTTAAAATTGGATGGAATTACAGCTCTTAGAGGCATAGCGGAAGCCTGAAGTCTTGAAAAAGTTAATGATGAGGATTAACTCTTAGTGCTTTTAGGCCGTTGTTTCAGCAGGAAGAAATGGGGTTGAGTTGGGTATATTACAGGAGCAGATACTAATGGACTGGGTCAAGAGACATTTTTAGACTGACAAATTCAAGTGGGAAATGTAAGCTGTGCATAGCTATAGGCATGGGAGTTTGTGACAAGAACACCAGACATCCTACTCCTGACTTTTCAAGTGTTTCTCTCCTAAGAGAAGCAGGAGTCAGTGATTGGCCGCCATCTTGTTTACCATTCCATGCTGATCAAAATCTAATGAGCACCTGCTGTTTGCACGTAGGTGCAAGATTATGGAGATGAATAAACCCCACCTCACCTTGAGGAACTCAAGTTGGGTGGCGGCTGATGGTGACCTTGTCATGCATTTTTGGTAGGATCTAATGAAAAAGTCTATTTATTTTTTTAGCACTAAAGGCCAAGCATGAAAAAACCATCCTGGGAATGAATTGCTGGGGCAGTCAAGAGCTGGCTTTGAAAAGATTTTAAAGATCCTGGGGTGTTACCCTTTTCTGGAGATGTTGCAGTCTTGTGGAGGGACCCACAGGCAGTGCCACTAACCACTGTGACAGACACATCCTGTGAGACTCAGCCGACAAGCCCCTCTCCACTCTTCTCTTTACCGCTACAGCTGTGATGGCAGGATCCGAAAAGGGGGAGGGGTGGCCTTCTGATAGAATTTTAAATGAGCGTGCAAAGATGCAACTTAACGATTAAGAAATACATCCTGAGAGGTTCTTGGGGCCGTGACTTGTGTTAGATGCTGAGAAGACACAAAGATGAACCTGGCTCTGCTGACAGGCCAGTGGAGGAATCAACCATTCACTCTTTCATTCATTCATTCACTCATATTCGGGAGGGCCATCTTCCTGCTGTTCTAGACCCCGAGGCACTCCTGCCACCCTCCTTACAGAGTTTTGGCAAGTGGAGCAGCCAACACATAAACCGGGACTCAGACCCTTCAGGGTGAGAGTAGGACATGCAGGCTACACGGGCGCGTGGAGGCTCCGCCTGCTCACAACTGTCACAGGAGGCGAGATCATAAGTGCCTCCAATGAAGCGTGTGTGAAAGGCAGTGAAAGAGCTGATGATAGAGTGATCCATTCTGCGAGGGTGCTAAGAAGTGGGGAAGATTAGCGCGAGTCCCTCTGCAGAGGTGTTCAAATAGGTGTGTGTGTGAGAAGGGCATTCAGAGCCGGGGGAGGCAGAGAAAGGCCTGTGTCACTGCAGTGTGCCCTGTGAGGCATCATACACACAAAAGGGTCTGTGTGCACATATGCACGCATCATGTACATGTGTGTTTGTGCACATGCATGTGTTCATGTGTGCACACGTGTGCATGCATGCTTGTGTATCATGATGAGATTGAGCTGTGGGCTGGAGCCTGATGGCTTAGATTTCAATCAGTCAGTAATGGAGAGCCCTGAATGCCTTTGAGTAAGAGGTGATGATCTGATTTGTCTTCTAGGAAGATCCCTCTGGGACTTGTATAGAATGATGGAAGGAGGAAGAGACAGGTGGTGGTGTGGTCAGCTAAGGGGTTGTGGCAGTGGCCATTCAGGAACAGCAGGGGTGGGTGCCCTGATAATAGAGTGAGCATTTTCTCAGTATCCATTTTGGGCTGGGAACATTACCTCGAACCCTTTCCACGGCCTGCAAGATAGACACCTCCCCTTTTAGATGAAAACACTAAGGCTCACGAGGGACAGGGGACTGAACCGAGGACACTAATCAGTGGGGCTTCACATGCCATCTAGCTGGTCAAAGCCCATGTCCCTTTTCGTAACCTCACACCCCTTCCCAGTGAAGAGGGTCTTGCTGGAGGGGCTCATGAGAAAAGAATATTCACCACAAAGCAGGGTTCAGGAGCCAGAGAGCCAATCAGAGCCTGCCATGGTCCCACTCGAGCTGACTGACCTTGAACACGAGATTTAACACCTTCACTTCAGATTCTATGTTTGTAAAATGGAGGAAAAGTGAGTACCTACCTCATAGGAGGTGAGTTTAATTTGATTTTAGACATGCTGCTGATGAGCTGGTGTCCACAAGACAACACCCAGCAGACAGTGTGAAGTCAGGAAGGAGCAGTCAGAGCCAGAGTAGGAGCGGTGGGTAGGAGTGCCTTTGGCCCAAGGGTGAGAGCTGGTGCCAGAGGAGTGGTTGGGAGGCTCAGAGCGAGAAGGAAAATCAGTAAGTCAAGGCAGAACCTTCAGAGGAGCTCACAGTTCAGGGTAGAGAGAGGAAGAGGAGCACCTAAAAGAGTGTCCAGGAAAGGCGGGGGGCAGGGAGGGGGGACGGGAGGAGGACCAAGAGCCCCTGGACAGCTGGGGAGGGAGCCTGCAGGGTCAGCTAGTGGTGTTGATTCCACAGGCATTTAGAGAGGCCTCTCTCACCCGTACCCACAAGGTTCTTTTTATGGCAAGTGCAGCCCTCAGCTGTGAGAAGGCCCATGTAGGCTGCTGAGGACCAGGGATCAGGGTAACTGAGGGTGCTCTGAGGCCAGGCAGGGGCCATTGGCATCACGGGCTCCCCCAGAGGCATGTAAGTGTGGTCATGAGATGTGGGAAAAGTCCAAGGTGTCTTCAGTTCAGCAAGTGGCCATTACAACTCAAATGTGGGCGGAAGACAAGTTTTGAGAAGCCGTGAGAAGCCAGGTGTGAGAGCTCTTTGTTGAGTCACACTCCTCCAGCTGTCTACTCCCCACCCTCCCAAGTAAGTGCCAGCTCGTGCAGGTTGACAAAGCTCACCTGATTCTGCATGGGTTTGCTCATTTCTGAACTGTAGCCCAACTCACCACTTGCCTCCCCTGACATGGATGGGTCACACGCTCCCACGGCCGCCATCTTTCTTTCCCTAGCATCACCCTTTGGATGGATGTGTCCCCCCCACGCACACTGTGAGCATCTCAGGACAAGTATGGTAGCTGATGCCAACTGCATTTCTATCACCCGGCCTTGCAGCTGGCACACAGATGCTCAGAAGGAACCCTCTGGATTGAGGTGAACTCTTTGCGAAAGGAATCGTGTGTCGTTCTTAAGAAACAAT